TATGCCCGTTTTGTGCTTTACATGGTAAGCATGCAAGTTGTAGATGAGTACTTGTGCCTCCATTCAAAATGTAAAGATAGACAAGTGTGATAGTTTCTTTTTCTTCCACATGTAACTTAAGGGAAAAAATATATCTGAGGTTCTTGCTTCCATATTCATGAAGAAACTGGTGGATTTGGATATATTCTCATTTTTTTTTAAAAAAATGAGCAAAATGGACATTTTTACCCACCTGCACTGGCGAAATATTTATAGGTGTGCTCAGGGTGGAGAGGATCATACCGGAGCAGCCTGCCATGTGCCAATTCGACAGTAAGAGTTTGTCAGAGAGAGGGAGAGAAAGAGAGAGAGAGAGAGAGAGATGCTAATCCTAACTGAACATGACAAGACTGTTGAGTATAGAACATGGTTTTCCAACCTGTGCGGTCAACACAGTGTTTTCTGGGGGGCATCACAGTTTTCAGGGAAGGAGCAAAAATGGCCCTGGACCCACACACATCCTCGCACTGTGTCACTGGGAGCGGGCCCCTAGGCTGTGCAATCTCCTCCTTGAGTGGCAAGGCCAGAAGCTCCTCCTTGGATCGGGCAGCTGATTGCGTAGGCAGCCTGGTTCGGATGGGGACCTGGATCGGGAGGAGTGGGAGGCGAGACTCGGCCACAGCCCCTGTGAGCCAGACCGCCCCCCGGCGTGAGTCGAGAAGGGAGGCGGCAGCAGAGGGCTGGAGAGGGAGAAAGGGAAGAAAAGGCTGCTGTGACTCAAACAAACTTCAGCTGTGAGCTGCCACCACCATCTTAGGGAGGACGGCTCCCCTGTAAAACCCACCCTCATCACCTCCAACTCCACGAGCTCATTAAGGGATTGTTGAAGTGCCGGAGAGGAAATGGCTTTAAGAGACATTTAGCTGCAAATTCTGAAGCTAATTGCTGAGATGCAGTACAGCCATCACATTAAAATCTATTTTTAATGTGGTTTCTTTACTCTGTTAAAATGCCATTTTATGCAAATATGGTGGGGGATTCACAGGTTACTTGGCTCTTATAAAAGGGGGTCACGGCCTGAAAAAGGCTGGGAAACATTGGTACAGAAGGACTCAAACTCAGACTTTGAAGTGGAAAGGATGTAAGAACTGAGACTGTTACTTTTTTTTACAAGAACCATGGAATTATTCTTTTGCCTCAGAAGTCTAGTTGTCATTAGCTTTGTTGTTATTTCAATACCTAAAGTAATTGGTTGAATTACACATAATTAACACCTTGTGTTGTTATCCTCAGCCTAGAAAGAAAGAAAGAAAGAAAGAAAGAAAGAAAGAAAGAAAGAAAGAAAGAAAGAAAGAAAGAAAGAAAGAAAGAAAGAAAGAAAGAAAGAATCTCTGGTTCCCCCTAGTAGTCAGTTCTGATACTGCACCTTGCAAATATTTCCTTCCTTTCACCAATAATTATTGTTTACCATCATATCAATTCGAACTCATGGTGATTTTTCCAAGATTTCCTAGGTACAGATTACTCAGAAGTGGTTTCATGTTCCCTTTTTGGGGGGTTGCTCTGGGACTGGTGCAGCTTGCCCAAGGCTACACAGGCTGACTCTTCTCCTGAGAGGATTGAGCTTTCAACCACTGGCTCATCAGCCAAGTAACCAACTCACTGAGCTATTCAGAAAAAGGATTACAAAAATGCAAAATATTGAATTAAAAAAAAACATTTCCCTTTACCTTAAGAGTCGCAAGATGAGGGCATACATTCTGAAGAATTTCTCTCAGGAAGTCTGTAAAAATATCTTCAAATGCCCTTTTGTTCTAGTTTGATATGAGTCACTTTGACAAGTATTCATTTCTAAACTAAGAGATAAGCTGTACAGGCACTAGATAGCAGACACAGAATTACAAACTGGTTCAATTATGTATGTGAACAAAAAGGGTTGTTTTGAATCCCACCCTTCTTCACCCACCATAACATTATTGCATTGCTTTGCTTATTTTTCATGGAAACTTCTTATTATTCTTTCATCAATAGGATTGTAATTTACATTTTAAAGAGGACTCCAGAAAGAACAACTACCTTAGTTAAGCTGCATTATGTTATTACAATAGATACTGCACAATTTGAAGGAATATTATAATTTTAAAGAAATACACAAAAGCCACATTCTCAGACAAATTACATCCTATGTAATTTGAGCTTTGTAGTTTGATCCTTCGCTGTAACAATTAGAGATGATAGCAGGATCTGCCCGAACTTCTCTTTTCTGACATGCCGTGAACTGGAAGCCTTTAATTCCTCCAACCCACCTTTTCAAATGGCTCTGTGTATACTGAGAATTTTCTTCCTGAAAGTGGGTTCAGTTAACTTCTCTTGAGTTTTGATGTACATCTTTGTCTCAGAATTCTTTCTTTTTTTAAAGCTATAATTTTGAAAAGTGTGCACAAAGCAGCAGTGTGAAATAATTACGTACATGATCATTATTTTAATCACTCATTTTCATGGAAGATAAAGCTTGTTTATTGATCGATGGTTAGACGATTATGAAAGCAAAGGTACAGGTGGCACTGATGGACGGTATCATTCGCTATTCATTAGCCCTGGCATCGGTTACGCTCTTTCCCCTTTTCCCACTGGGATCCAATCATTCTTGAAATGCCAATAGCAACCGTCTCATTTGTATCAATGAGATGGATACCCAGAGGGTTGTCAGTCCAGATGGATCAGCCTGGATGGGTTCATTGCCAGCTATTGTCCAACAAGCATGCAGGTCAAGCCCCAAGAGATACAAACCAGAATCTGAACAGGACAAGACCTCCCTAAAGAGGAGGGCTTATCCTACTCAAGGGTGCACCTAGGGGGGGTTGCGATGTTGGTTTAAAAAGTAAGTAAAGGTAAAGGTAAAGGTTCCCCTTAACAATTTTTGTCCAGTCGTGTTCGACTCTAGGGGGCGGTGCTCATCCCCGTTTCCAAGCCATAGAGCCAGCGTTTTGTCCGAAGACAATCTTCCATGGTCACATGGCCAGTGTAGGTTGTGATGTTGGTTTAAAAAAGTAAATACAGCAGACCTATTTTGTCTTTTGTTGCATATGTCTTTGGCATGTACATTTAGATCAAGATAGTAGTTTGGATATCAGGCTGTAAAACCAGTTCGACTCTAGGGGGCGGTGCTCATCCCCGTTTCCAAGCCATAGAGCCAGCGTTTTGTCCGAAGACAATCTTCCATGGTCACATGGCCAGTGTGATTTAGACACGGAACGCTGTTTACCTTCCCACCGAGGTGGTCCCTATTTATCTACTCGCATTTGCATGCTTTCAAACCGCTAGGTTGGCGGGAGCTGGGACAAGCGACGGGCGCTCACTCCGTCGCGTGAATTCGATCTTACGACTGCTTGGTCTTCTGACCCTGCAAGCACAGGCTTCTGCGGTTTAGCCCGCAGCGCCACCACATCCCTTTAAAAAGTAAGTACAGCAGACCTATTTCGTCTTTTGTTGCATATGTCTTTGGCATATACATTTAGATCAAGACAGTAGTTTGGATATCAGGCTGTAAAACCAGAGATTGGGAATTCGATTCCCCACTGCTGCGCCTCCAGGTAGAAGAACCAGCCTATATAGCCTTGTCCAAGCTGCACAGTCCCAGGGCACTCCCAGAAGAAGGGCATGGCAAACCACTTCTGCATATTCTCTACCCTGGAAAAGGGTCATACATCAGAACTGACTACACAGCACATGATCATCATCATCAGATGGATATGCACTATACATGCCTGCCTGCCTTCTTGGGGGGGGGATCATTGTGCAAAAGACACCACCTCATTTCAGAGCACTGTAGATCCATGGTCTTCCGAAATGACAAACAAGAAGTAAAGATTGTATCTGAAGTATTGAACCAAAGTTTTGATTGCTTTCATTTTATATAGAAAGATCAAAATCTAGGCATTTCAGGAGAGTGTCAGCAGGGATGAAGTAAATGGAACTGGTGTGATTTTGTAACCCTGTAGCTGATTTTCAGTCAGTAGGTACTGCTCATTCATGTTCATTGGGGTTTTGTGATGATAAAGTATGTTAAATTATACAAAACGATGTCAGTAATGGGACATGACAAGATCCACAGATGCACCAGAAATACAGTAATAGGTCAGGATAAGTGTCATGTGTCACATCTCATTAGTGCATGTTCCATACATCATTCTTGCTGCTAAATGAACACCGGTGTCATGTCCCCATTTTAGGGAAGAGGTGTTTGGTGGCGTAACGAATTCTCCCCCCCCTCAGCTGACTTCGCTTATACTGAACTTTCACTGAATTGATCATTACTTGGTGTTTCCTGATGCGACTCATTCATTTGGTGCTTCTTCACTGATCTCTTCCTTCACGAGTGTTTTCTTTCTCTCCTTTCCATGAACATGCTAACTGTTACATGGTCCGCAGTGATGACATACAGTACTGTATTTCAGAAAACCATTTAGCGATTAGCTAAAGTTAATTCCTCTTCCATACTTCTTCGTGAAACAGTACATGGTGATTCAGACCGTGAAGCCTTAAGACCAAGGATGGGGAAAGGGTCTGTGTTATTTTCAACCAAGCTGACTCCAACTTAAGGTGATACTAGTAGGGGATGTGAGATATTTAAGGAGAGCTTTTATCTGTGCCAACGCCCCCTTCCATGACTTTCCATGGCCAAGTGGAAATTTGAATCCAGGTCTCTTGATTTGTAGTCTGTCACTCCGTCCACCATGCTACAATGGCTCTTGAGGTCAACGTACATCCTTCCTTATGCTGTTGGACTGAGATTCCCCACATTCTTCACCCACTGGATATGCTCCTTAAGGCTGATGAGATTTGCCATTCAATAGCACCTGGAGATCTGCATTTTCTCCGCATTTCAGGAGTCTTGTGGCTTAGTGGCTAAACTGCAATACTGCGGCACACTTTGCTTTGTATATGTCCATAAGAAGGTATCGTTAAGTTGAATACAGCTAAAACCCCACTTCATGGCTCATCATTGGTTTTTTTTACAGATATTCTATTGCCAAAGATCCAGCAGACTGGTTGGAGATCAACCCTACAAATGGTACTGTTCGCACCACGGGTATTCTCGACCGTGAATCGCCATTTGTCTTCAACAATGTGTACACAGCATACTTTCGGGCAATAGACAGTGGTGAGTAACAGCAATTGCTGTAGGCAGAAGTCCATGTGTTCCCTGCTATGTACATATTCCATGCTGCACTATATCCATGCTGCTGATCATAGCCAGGTCTGGTGATAGAAGGGTTGACAACTTAGTCCCTGTTAGGGGGCATCACATCTATTGCAATGCTTTGCTTCAAATACAGGCTCACAGTTGACATTCTGCCAATGATGTATATATTTGCTGATATTAAACCCTTGGCATCACTGCACCAATAACTAACTCATCCTCAACATTACCAGATTCTATTCCATTTAATGTGTAACAGCAATTAGAATGAAAACACAATTAAAAATCCCTTGTTAAAATGCAATATTTTTAACATATTATGCGGATTAAAGTTCCTTCTGTTGCACATAATCTAAATTAAAAGGATGCTATGAAATCTCATTGCAAGTTACTCTTGTAGCACATTAAATATAAGAGATTTGTGGGGTGGAGGAGGAATACTCGGTTATCCTGCACAGCTGAAAGGCGCAAAATAAATAAAGGCTTTGTATGTCATGTTAAAAAAGCTAATATGCTTATGCTCCTCCGAGATACAGCTGCTTTAGCGGCAGCAATGAATTGTAAAATGTTCTTTTTAAGAGGGTAATTTTACTTTCTCTCTCTCTCTCTCTCGCTCTGTCTTTTTGTACCACAAAAATCTGTACAGGGAAATGTTTGTGAGGTTTCAACAAGAATACAGCTTTAAAATGTAAATGCATAACAGGACCAAAAAGGTCCCCTTTGCTCTGGTGATTTACTTGGCTATACGCAAATGTATTTTCGTTGCAGAATCATCTCCCTCCCCCTGCATCTTTTTTTTAAATGCCAGCAAATGCATTCCTAATTCCTTATTTTCTAGTCTTGGACAATGCCTCTTTTATATAGTGTGCATGCTAACCGTAATAAGATTAGAACCATACATTTCTGTTTGCAAAGCTGCAGCCCACATCCTTTTGCTTAGTTACGCAGCTGTAACACAAACAGCATAACTTCTGGAGGCTGCCTTAAGTTAAGAAAACACCGTAGACATTATCCACTGCATGCATAGTTGCCTGTCTCCATGTGCCACTGATAAATATAGATGTTAGTGCATAGGCTGAGGCAATTTGCCTCCTAAAGTTACACCATTTGTCCAGCTATGCGAGAGGATTTGGGCCAATATGCACGATATCAGCATTTCCAAACTGTATGTAGAGGCCCAGCTACCTGATGGGGTGGAGAACCTCCTGCTGTAGAATTTTGAATTACTGGTTAAGTTCCTCTTTGCTATGCAGTAGAAGTACAGAGATTCACAGAGGAGAATAGCTACAAGTTTCCCAAATAGTCCAACTCTTTCTCATTAACTGGCACTTACGGTCTCAATAACTCAGAGACATTCGTAGGAGAAAGAATAAAAATGTTTCATTACTGACAGTTGTGAATAGATCAACAGCAAACTATCAAACAAACTGCAGGCAACATGCAAGGTTGTAAAAACTTCAACACCATCAGCCCTCCAGATGTTGACGAAGAAGCACCACTGGCCAGGGTGATAGCAACAAAAGTTCTGTTCCAGCATCAGGGCTTTTCCTGCTACCAGAGACTATGATGTTAATGCGTGCTAACCCAAAGCACTTTATTAAGAGTTCCCTAAAACTTGTGCAATTAGAAGAATGGCAATTCTGCCCAAATGATCTCCTCTAGAACTTGTGTCTGGTTTTCCAGCACAAAAAAACCTTAAAAGTACTGCATATTCCTACAATTTTGTGCACTAGATGCAAGCCAGCACTATCAGCATTGTGAAGAATGAGTGACCAGCTTCTAGCTACTTAAGTGCAAACCACAGCTATTTGTGCCGTGCAGGATATTAATGGCTGGATAGTTTAACCTACAGTTCATTGAAACCGTGATTGAGTACATGTCTTGTAAAAGGTTCACTGAGCCTTCAACATGACTAATCCAAGCTCTACAATAGTGTGCTTCAACATATACATAAACCAATTCCTTTCCTTAGGTTTGGTTCCTTGAAGACTCTTTCTAAAGTAATATTGTGTTATCTCTGTAATTTCATAGCCAGCCATATGCACTAATGCAATGAAAGTGATTCCACTATCATTTTCCTAGCCAACCAACACTAATATCTAATTTCCTCAAGCTTATTATGTTCCCAATGAGCTACATAATGCATGTAGTTTTGGCACTTGAATAATCTAATGTGAGTGCAAAATCTTTCCTGGACGTTGTGAGGAAGGTTAAATGAACTGAAAGTGTTTCTGATGGAGCAGTTTTGCAAGTGGAGTTTAGAAGCACACTGGCATCTATGAGCCCTTGATACTAATGGAAGGGGCAACCCAGCCAGCTGGAGGCTGGCCAAGGGGCCAGAGGAAGAGTTGTAAGCCCTGCTTTGCTGGTATAGAAGGAAACCCACTAGTGGGTCTGCACTCATAGCTCTTGTCAGTTTGGATTTCCTATGGACAGTTTCCCATCAGATTTATTATTTTTATTCATTTATTTATTCAATGTATACCCTGCCCATCTAGACCAAAGTCTACTCTGGGCAGCTAATGCAAACACTGATGCAAACACTGAGCCCACAAATCCTGTACATGTGAAATATGTGCTGTAAGGCAGTGGTCCCCAACCTTGGGCCTCCAGATGTTCTTGGACTACAACTCCCAGAAGCCTTCACCACCACCTCTGCTGGCCACGATTTCTGGGAGTTGAAGTCCAAGAACATCTGGAAGCCCAAGGTTTGGAACCACTGCTGTAAGGCATGGTGTAGTGGATAGAGGGACAGCCCAGGACTCTGGAAATCAGGGTTTGAATCCTCACTTGGCCATGGAAGCTCAATGGCCGAGTGGAACTGGCAAATCACATCTTAAATATCTCACTTCAAAAGCCTGATCAGGGTCACTATACATCAGTTCTGACCTGATGACACATGGCGGAGTGATGTGGTACAAACTCTTTGCCATTATTAGCCACTAGATATTTGAATTGGCCCTTACTTATAAGTATTGATTAGTTTTTATATGACTGAATTTCTCTGATATTCAGCCTCTTACCAGAAACCGTCTTGGTGCTGATGGCGCACCGTGTTCAATTTCATAGATAATAAAAGACGACCTTTTCTCTGAAAGAGAAAGACAGAATCTCCCTTTTAATCTCCCCTTTCCCCCACCAAATGCATGTTGAGGCTTAGGACGCTCTTGGTTTCCATAAAGGTCACGAGAGTCATCTGTGACTGTAGAGTACTCTCCTTTTATTTATTTATATATCACTATGTGGACATAGAGACTCTAATCTAATAAGGCAGAAATTAAAAGCTGATGAAACTTTTATGAAGCAGGGCTAACACATTAAAGTGGATCAAACCACGTTTTATCTGGAAGTGGATTGGAAATGGGACAGCGAAATGTAGAGAACACACTGCAGATTTCAGGCAATTAAGAGAAATACCCCAGAGGTTTCTACATATCTCCTTCTGCTCTGAAATGTAGTTTGCTTCTTTTAGGTGGTTGGAACGGTAGAAGGAAAAACTTTAAATCAATCTCTGGTAGTCCATCCCTTTTTTTTTTGTCTAGGGGTGCAAGCTATGTTATGTGGGTTGTGGATAAGAAATTGGCTTAAAACCTACTGTACCAGCATAGCAAATTGCACAAAGTAGGCCCATTGAGCCAATGGGGATTTAATGAGTCACCTCTATAAGCTGCATTGGTTCAAGTGGACCTACTTCAGTTGTGACTTATTTTGGCATAGAAAGTCAGTTTGTATAGGCCCATTTGAACCAACAGAGGAACTGAGTCATCAAATCCACATTGATTCAGTAAGTCTGCTCTAGTGCAATTTACTATGCTAAGCAACGGGATTTAGGCTAATGTATGAAAAGCAATGAACAAGTACTGACTTTTCTGAATTTCTTACTGTTACTATCAATCTAATCCAGCAAGGTTCAGAAAATGTTGGGACTACACTAAAGTATTACAAATAATATTTTTTCACACTCAGAAGGATGGGGGCAGATCTGAAGATCAGAACTTCAAAAATGCTTTAAAAAGTAATCATGTTTATAGTTCCAATCCCTTCCCATCATAGTTTCCCATAAAGGTTCCCCTTGACAATTTTTGTCCAGTCGTGTTCGACTCTAGGGGGCGGTGCTCATCCCCGTTTCCAAGCCATAGAGCCAGCGTTTTGTCTGAAGACAATCTTCCATTGTCACATGGCCAGTGCGACTTAGACACGGAACGCTGTTACCTTCCCACCGAGGTGGTCCCTATTTATCTACTTGCATTTGCATGCTTTCGAACCGCTAGGTTGGCGGGAGCTGGGACAAGCGATGGGCGCTCACTCCGTTGCGTGGATTCGATCTTACGACTGCTTGGTCTTCTGACCCTGCAGCACAGGCGTCTGCGGTTTAGCCCGCAGCGCAACCACCAGTTTCCCATAATTACTTTAAAAACAGATGAGTACCAGAAGCTACTGGTCCATCGAGGAAACACACTGTCTCTTATCTACTTTGTGGTTGTATGAAACCCCTCTGCAACTGACAACGAGAGAGCAGCAGTAGCAAGAGCTGGCACTTGAACCCTCTGATCTTCCTCTGCCACCATTTTGTGAAGCCATATCCATATAACTGCACAAGTAACAAAGATGTTACTATTATTCCAACAAGGAGTTGTGAATCTTGATGAATTACACTCTTTAATTTCATAAGTATGGGGAGATAATAGCTCTTTCACTATGACGAGACAGCTAAAATCAAGTAGAGTTCCTGCTTCAGGAATATTTTAAGGGACATACTGGTTGACTAGAATTCAAAATATGGAGCAGCTAGATCTTTAATGTGGGAGAAAGTAATGCAGATCAAATAGAGACAACATGGCTCCAATCTAAATCTTTTGTGTATACTGTATTGCAGTGGTTCTTAACCTTTGTTACTTAAGGGACAGTTGACTAGAATTCAAAATAAGGGGCAGCTAGATCTTTAATGTGGGGGAAAGTAG